TACTCCTAGTCTTTTTCTTTTGTTCACTTTGGTTTTATCAGATCATTACGTCTACAACTCCTTAGAGCTTTTTTGCCAAACTCCGGGTGTTACGTAACAACCAAGATCTCCTAATCCCTGATAAACTCAGCAGGCCGCCAAGGATTACACCGATTAAAATCAGTAGTTAATGGTGCTTACTAGACCTCCTGACTGGGTCTGGAAGGGGATTCAAAACAAGGAAACAATTTACACACTTCACAATAATATTACTGTTAAAATATAACATTTTAAAAACCGTATTTTGATTTGTAACGAGCTTGAAAAACTCCCAAATCCCAAATTATTGCATTCGTTGAAGACTTTAAATTAAAAAATTAACAACATTTGAGGCAGTGAATCGCGATTTTTAGACATGTCACCCGATTAAAAAATGCTGCTCCTCATTTTAGAAAGAAAAATGTAATTTCTATATCTGTAATAACGATGAATCTTAAATATTAATTTATGTATTGTACCTTTTACTTTTCTAGACGCCTAGGCCCTGGTTCATGGTATGTTTACAACACAAATTCGCATTCATATAGTCTGTAAATACCAGCCGTAGTAACTCTTGGCGCACAGCTAGCCTTCAAGTTTGTTAGGTTGAACGGCATAAAATGTCTATATTGTAAGACTAGCAACTCTATAAAGAGTACCAATAGGCTGATTTTATTAACGTTAGATTTGGAATGCAAACAAAACACACGAAAGACTTGATGTTGAATGCAACTAAAGCATAAACATATACATTTGATAAAACTACCTTTATTATTTGAATTTACATGGATTTCATGCATAAAACTAGTTATTTTATACCGAAATCGGCTGGAATCTTGAATAAACAAGCCCGGAAACAAGTCCATACTCGGTGCCTTTAAGATAGTACAGAATAATAAGTATTAAAATGCACGCCATCGTGTTGGGATTAAATATTTCGACATTAAGCATGTCATTATCAGAAATGATGAATAATTTCTCAAATGTACAGGCATCGTACTAAAAACAAATTATAACCCGTTGGAAAATGGACGGTTCCAAATCGACCAATACTCGAACCCACGTGTTGTTGATCATGCAAGCCTCGCTCTTGTGATTTGCTTGAGTAAAAGATGACAGCACATTTTAATCAGTTATCTCGATCGTTACAATTATTTTATAAGGAATAAAGCAGATTTCAGATTTGTTTTAAATTAATATGTTAAATTTTCAACAATACAGTATACGCCTCTCGATTCGGAGGACCTCTGTAGAGAAGGATACATCTTTCTACAAAGGCCTAATGCCAATGGCTAGCAAAAATGTGAGGTAAACATTCCACTACGGAGAGCCGTGCGCTAGCATAGCATACAGATGATAGGCATGGCAGATTTGATTTAGGCCAGCGTGTAACACTGCCTTACTTTGAATATCTATGTACCTTCAATATTTCGATCTTTATTTTGAAGAAATAGTAAAATATTGATGAGCCTTTCTTTAGCAGTCGGTCTATAGTTAGGTCCACCGGCATTCGCGAATTACACACTCATGAATGTTGGCCTAGGGCGCGGCCGTCGCTATGTACTGGGACTGTTCTCATCTTTATTGTTTAAACTGTGATCAATTATACTGTAAACTGAAGAAATTAGAAATAATGTCAGATTCTAATAGGCCCCTATCACTTAAAACATAAATGATTTTAACTAAAATACAACACTTTATGAGATGACATTTTCAATGGCTAATGATCTACACTGCCTATAGCCAGTAATAGGATTATAGGATTAACACTAAAATTATCATGAGCAATTACTCATATCAGAAATGTCTTATCAGCATTGGATGATAAAAAATGGAAAAATCTCTCTATGCAGTTGTACACGTCATGATTGTCATTTTATTACCCCTATATGGTATTTATTCTGTTACATACGGATTTGTTTCCAAAATATTGATTGATCGATCGATCGATCAATTATGTCATTTAATATACCTTTACAACACATAGTTAGATACTGTCGTCAACATATAATAATATATTATTATTATTTCAATGTGCATTTGCATCTAGGAATAGAAATTTTGTTACCAATTTAGTTTAAATAGAAAAGATTATGATTTTTAAGAAGGAAATAGTTGTTACATACAGACAAATAATCAAAGGGTATTTATTACAAAGAAGGAAATAGCATACGTTGGTAATATTAGCCAGGTAAACCATAAAACAGGTGGAACAGGTTATATATTGTACAGTAAACATTTGCTATGTGGACCTTAACCAAAGGTGGTATATGATACTGTGATTTCTGCTTGCTTTCTATTTGAACTAGCAAAAATTTGCAGTCAAATTGAAAATAACATAATGAATATTTCATTCAACAAGTCTGCAAATAAGCATGAATATTCAATAATAATATGAAAAAAAAAAATCTAATTATATGCTTTACAGAATCAAGTATAATTTTCTATACAATGGATACAAGAGTACGGTGAAAGAAACAAAAACCCTGCAATTTAGACTTGTATTTGGATTAGTCTCTGGTTTTACTTATCACTAATGAATTAAATTATAATCCAGCTGTTTGCTATCTGTTTTACGCAGCAATCCAACTGACTGTTAACAGAGAGTGGTCAGAGCTCTTGCGTATAAGAAGACAAAAAATAGACTTACGATCAAAAATAGATTATAGATATGATCAAATGCAATTGAGAATGAAAGACGGACCTCCCTAGAATGGGGGTCAAAAGTTCAAAACTCACTGCAAGCTTTCAATGCTTCAGCTTAGCTTGAATGTGCTACTGTAAATAATTTTTAAAATTTTTCCTTTAATCCAAATTCACAACAATAGGTAAATATATCTCAAAATAAAGGTAACTTATAAAATGGTTAAACATTCATTAATTCATTCATTCATGGTGTTTTTAAAAGTTCAAATAAAAAACAAAAACCACCTTATGGTTATACTGCTTTACTATATTGCCTTAAAAGCACAAAAATCTCAAGATATCTTTTTAATTATTAAAAAATATACTACAGCCAATAAAAATGACATCATTATTAATATTAACTTCTGATAAAACATAATATAATATATTTGATTGAAAGTAGTGCATATATTTGAAAGGAAACTGAACGAACTTTTATGTCATGCCTTGTACTATTTTGTTTAGTATTTTGTTTTTATTAGGAAGAAACGTTTAAGTTAAAAGGAGTTATAAATACAATAACAATATATTTGAATCATATGATAAATTAGAGTTACACTAATTTTCATTATTATCACTTTCATTAACATAACAAGCTCTTTTATGTGTCTTGAACCTAATAAAATTGATGTATATGATTTTCATGGTGCAAGCACCAAATTAATAGCTCTTTTATATATTTACTTACATTTTGTAGAAGTTCTCGGCACCTGGTGAGACGCATACTGTGGGTACCTTACTTGCACATCGCTGGTGAAACTTGTAGCTACAGGTCAAACACTTGAAGCCATGGAATAGTAGTTTCTGACATGCATCACAAAATGCTAGTGTGTAAAATGTCTTCCTTACCTGCAAGTAGATAGGCATTGTAGACATTAGGAAGCTTTCGATTTGTGCGACGACGCGACGCTAGAACGGAATCACTAATGCGTGACCGTGCTACTTGGCGTCCTACGCTCTCTCTGCGTACGTAGATTTGGCTAAACTGCGTTCCAGAATCTACCCGACAAGGTGACCTTAACGTTCTTGCATGCGCAGATGACTTTTAGTGACGTCATTATGTTCTACGTCCTACTGTCGTCGTGCAATCGAAAGCTCCCATCCAGACTACCTGTATCAAATTCTATTTGATAAAAACGTGTGATATGCCTAAATATGGTCATGATGACATCACATCATGACCATATATAGGCACATCATGACTATACATGGGCATACAACGGTGGACAGAGCCTTACAAAGGTTTATAATCACAATTTCAGTAGTTTGAATTCGTCATGTGATTCAAAGGCAGGGTAACCATGTCATCTGTGCCAGGGATGTACAAATTTAAGGTGGTGCATACATTTGTTGCTACTTATTTTCCCTTCCCTTTTCAGTTACTGAAGTCTTTTTTTATCCTTGATCATGAGTGGGAGGGGGAGGCAGGACTTTAATATACTGAGTGTTATTTTGCTTCAAACATTTTAAATGGGGGAAGGGGGAAAAGAGCTTTTTAGGGGCACATGCACAACCACGCCCTCCTCTTGGATATTCGATGCTCTTTGCCTAGGATACATGGTTAAGATGCACAGTGGCGAATCCATGGGTTTGAAGTACAAGAGATTTTTGCAGATTGATCGACTCCAGACCACCTCTGTCCCATAATGGCTAGGGTTCAAGTTCAAAATTATATGGCTATATGGTACTGTATCTCTAGATAGATGGCCAGAAACGGAATTTCTTTTCTTCCTCTTTTTGTTTGTTAATTTTATTTTTTTCAAAATGTTAGGTTGGGCAAGTGCTCTCTGGAATCCGTCCCCTGATGCAAATGTTGTTATGAATTAAGTTTTTGCCCATGCTGAAATGTATGCGTGACCAGAAATGCTCCCCAAGGAAACATTACACATTCTGTATCCAATAAACCACAATAATAATGTGAAGCGCTCAGACATTCATTGGAAAGCACTAAAAAAATCATTTATTATCATTATCATTATTACAATATTAGTATTTTACAGTTCTCAGAAAGTCAGTAAACATTATTTCCAGGGTCACTTTGCTACAGTGGCAGTGATGCTGCATTATTGATTCTGGAAATTTGCCAGTTGTTACTGTATGGTACATCTATGTTTGCAACATAAACACATTACATTACCATTCTATTCTACGCTACATTGTGTGGTCAACAATGTATAGCATATAGTAGGCTGTTCTCCATACAAAGCCCCTTGCATTTATTTAATATTAAGTTTCATTACCGCAAAGCAATGATTATGTGTTTCAACAGCTTGAGTACGTTGGAGTCATTGAACAGGAAGATACAGAAAAGTATTGCAAATTGTCATTTATCATTAAATTTGCATAAACAAAAATTAGGAGAAAACAATTTGGTAAAAAAGGCAAGTTACACTATGCCCAAACTAACTACCACAGCTGAATTGAAGTATAATTATTGCAAACGCAATGCAGTTAAACTTTTTCGCAACACGGTTTGCGACAATACTGTAGAGGAACAGATGTGCTTGCATTTCCATTAATTCTTAGTTTGTTGCATTTGATTGAAGCATTCTATTTTAAGCTAACTTTTAACTTCTACTTTCTTTTTTCTTTTAATTTTATTTCTTTTCTATTGAGCATTTTAAAAGCACCTTACTTTTCACTATGATACATAATTCATTTAGTCTTGCAATAAGGTAAAAAAAAAAAAATAATTTTGAGTTGGCTACATTTTAAGAAAATCGCAAAAATAGGTATGTCGGTAGGAAAACAACAACCAAAAATGCGTTTACGCCTAAAAAGTAGAAAATACACAAATAATACAACAATTTTTGTATTTGCATCGCAAATAATACAACAATTTTTGTACAAACCATCCAGCAAATAGGCTAGGCCTTGGCTCTATCCTATAGCTATTCCATCCTTATTTGCTCATAAAAAAATATTTTTCATTGTAGTCAAGGAAAAAAAAAAAGCTAAAATGTCAAACCTGAATTTCGTAAAATTTGGGTCAGTTGGGCATGGCTAGCACAATATTTTTTTTTATTTGGCCTACTTGAAAAGTAAAATTACATACTTAATATATTTAATTATATTGCTAAAAATAAATCATTAGTGCAGTGTATATATAATCTCGCAGAAACTGATTTCTTAGTCCATTATAAGAGGAATAAAACTTAAGTTATTAAGACTTGAATAAAATTATACAATACTTTGTACTCACATAATTATGGGATATGCTTCTTGTTGCTGGAAATTGTTCAAGCTTTTCAACAAATAGCTATAAAAAAAAAGGGTAACTATTATTTTAAATCGAAAGTCATAAGTAATTTTTAGCTCAAAATGTTGAATATTATTTTCAAATAGCTCAATAACCAAAATTCTCAATATGGGAAAGCTATCAGAATGTAATATGAAAATGTTATAGAATTAGGAAAAAAACCATGAAAAATTAAATACTGATAAAGAAAAATGGAGAAACTAGTGTTGAATAATAATCATTAGGACTTTTTCATATTTTTCATTAATTCTAATTCTTAATACCTAATTATAATACTAGTGAAAGTGAAATATTAACAATGTTTGTTTCCGTTATGAATCATCAATGCACAAAAATGTGTACGTCATCTAAATGTTGGTAAAAGAACTGCATGGTAGATGTAGGCAGTTAGCTGATGGGAGATTCTGTTTGAAAATCTGCAACAACCTTGCAAATTCAATGATAATACGTAGCTAACATCATTTAGCATGCTGCGATATACATAGCATGTAGTGATCAGCAGAGGTTGTGATCTGCATGACAATACAGCTGCTAACGCAGACAAAATTCAACTGACCTGGTAAAGTGCTAGATCTAGTTATTATTCCAAGGTCAGCCTAAGACTTAATACATTGCACTCTGCAAGGTATCGCAGGCTTGAGCTGACAGACCTTGTCAGTGCAAAAACACAATACTGCAAATGTCTATGTTTGCTATTTAATTTGCAGATAAAGTGTCTTCAGGGTGATGACTGCTGTTTGTATTAGATATCCACACTATTCTTTTTGTGGCGTTTACAAATTTTAAAGGGATAACTTCAGCAATGCATCTTGTTTTAAAGGGAGTGTAGCTCCTGCTAAACTGTAGTTAAATGTTACAAATAAAATGTACAAAAACAAGATAATGAAATTTTGGCTTTTAAAAAATTTTTTCATTTTAATAATAAAATAAAATAATTAGTACATAATAACTATAGTATTAATTAAATTAAATTTCTAGGTATACTAAATAATTTAACATCTTAAGGCAATATTGTATTGTCACTACAGAAAATGGATTGCTACAGTTGATCAAATACATGTTGACCTAAAACTTGAGATCTTCAAATATTACTATACAGAACTAAAGCTAATCTAATGTTTGCAATAATCATTTGCTGATTAAGGACAGTCCAAATTACAGGTGTTTTGCTAATGAATTAAAAATGTATTTACTTTAGTCAGGCACCACACTGCACAGATGAATGATGCATCACTTCTGAGAAATGTTTACTGCCTTTTTCACAATGGCACATCATATCAAAGAAGTGAAGAACCACTTGAGACGAATGGTGCATCACCTCAGAAAAATGGAATACTATAGGTATAGAACACCCTGGACGAATAGTGCATCACTTTTCACAAATGGTGCACGTCTTTCCCTCAGAGGAATGGCGCACCACTTTAAAATGGTGCACTGCCGCAGAAAAATGATGCATCATCTTAGAAAATAATGCACCGTCTCAGACAAATAATGCACTAACTATAAATGACAAATAATACACACTAATAACAATAATAATAATAACACTACTACATACAAATGTGTATCACGTCTTTCATAAACTGATTTGGGAAAACCTTTCACGATTCATATGGAAAGGCGGTAACAGCTGTCATGTACAAATTATATAAAATTAGAGAAATATTATGTTGACAAAGGCAATTTTACTGAAACAAAATCCAGGAGAATATAGCCAATAACTCATATAAGATTATATTATAAACATGACAAAAAATAAAAAAAAATGACAGAAAAATGATGTATAATACTTTTGTAGTCTCACATTTAAACCAGTTAACTATTTCCCTTTCTACCTTACATTGTAATCCGTCAGTTTTATTGATTATGAAATTTTATCGATGTATTTTTTATATCAGAAGGCCCCCAAATATGAGCTCACAAGTATTACAGACATTCCCATTAAATATTGTTTAAATAAATAAAAAAATATCCAGGCTACCTGGATATCAGTAAATACTCAATTCTTAATTACAATCCTTTGATCCATATATTTAGAATCGGCACCAAGCACTGATGCATCCTTTACAAAAAGGCAGTTGGCTATTTTTATACCGGTCTTAAATGAATATCTAATTGTGATTGGATGTTAGGTTTCCATTTAAGACTGGTGTTAACCTTAGATTGAATTGGCTTACCTCCTCCACACCTTGTCCCAGGTACATCATATCGATGTCCCATGCTATTCTCGTTTTGGTACCATTCGTATTCACTTTGTAAATAGAACACATAGTGCAGTCCAACTCTCTATTTCTCATGGCTTTGCTAAGAGCATCTTGTAAAAGTATTCCAGGCTTTGCCAAAATCTAGGGTGGATAAAATGACAATTTGACATGTAAGTAATAAGGAAGATAGTTGAACATTTGGTAAAATATAAAATAAATTATGAAAAAAAAAGTATAAAAACAGGATATTATAAAGATAATAAAGAGAATGCGAGTGTAAAAATAATCTGGTAGATGATTATAGGATAGGATAAGAGTATTTCGGTGTGCATCACACCAAAGATACCCCACTAAGTCCAAAGACTTGTTTCCAGTGGGGTCCTTCTGGTGGTGATTGGACAGTACACCGGGAGACAATCCCATACTCTTTTCTGAAGAGTGTACTGCATTCTTTAACATGCACATGGGCCATATTGCACATGGGACCAACGGCTTAAATGTCTCATCCGAAAGACGGTGTGCTATATATAAGGCCACCTCCCTCCCACACTTGAATACAAAATTGGGCAAGATTTGGTGAGGTGGGAGGGGGGGAGGAAAGGGTATGGTAAACCATGGGAATCTCCTTTTCAATTAAAAGGCTAATACTCGAGGTGGGCTTACATCCGAGGAACTACAGTATTATGGATGGGAGAATATAGGAATAAATGGTTTAAAATCTGGATTTTGGATGAATACAGAATGAACTGATAAATGAATTGAAAGATTAAGAATCTCAAAGCAGCACCTAGCACTCAGGCAACACCTAGCTACAGCTCCACTTTGAAGATGGGTTCTTTGAATGAAAGCATACATAAATGAACTTACTGTAGTACGTTGCTGATCTGGTAGAAATACTCTAATTGGTATACTCTTTTGATTAAGCTTGCCCTCTGGCACAGCTGTTGGCGACAGCAGTGTTGGTGTCGTTTGTGATCCTGCTTCCGATTGATCTTCTGCCATCGCCTGGTCATTTGGATCTACGCTGGTTTGGCCATTTGTCATCTTTTCCCTTAACTCCTGCTCTCGATGCTGTAGTGTATCTAGCCTCTCTGTTAGATCCTCATATTCCTGAAGGAGGAATAATTGGTATCAACGAAATAGCAACAACAATGGTTAGATTGCAATGCTAATGGTAGCGGATCTACATACATACCTCTACGTAGATTGAAGGAGGATGTTGTTCATCCCCAAAATGGGTGATAAGTTTTTCAAGGTTTTCCTTGTATAACATCATCATTTGTTGGATGCTTCGAATCTGTAATGAGATAAAAAAAAAAAAAAAAAAACTGCATAAAGTATACTAGGTCAGGTACATACATACATAGGTCAGAGTTCAAGATGACTTTACTGCCATTTCGGAGTTTACAATGGTTTTCCAAGTTTACTTTTTAAAATCCAAAGAGCAGGAAACATGGAATACAAGAGAACTGTAGTAAATAAAATTCTGATTCATTAAAGAAAAGATGAACTTAAGACTAGTATAAATATCTCAATTCTTCAAAAAAAAAAAAAAAAAATACATGTTACTCTTCAATACGCAAAATGGAGCATATTAGTCTTAATCTATTTTGAAAAATTTAAGAGAAGGGTAGTCCAATTACTACCGGCAGCATCAGAGAAGACACTGTCATTTACCTTGAGAATAAACTCGAGACCAGCGAAAATAATCACGTCTAGCCTTGATGTACTTAATCACCAAATCAATTTCGCGCCCTTACCAATTCTTTTTGGCAACAAATTTCATACAAAAATTAAGCTGAGGAGAACTTTTTGACAATTTGCTTTAAAGATGTATTGTCCCTTGCTAATGTCATAAAATGAAACAAGAAATCATTCTGAAATAAACTTGCTCATATTGCAATAGCATACAAATTATTAACTTGTACATAAAAATTATTGAATTTAAAAAATGTGTACCCTGATTTTTAAACCAAAAAATTATAATAAAAAAAATAAAACACTTCCAGTGACTGGAAGTGTTTTTATCCTTTTTCGCTGTAAACTGATGGGTAGACATTTTTTAAATGCACTAATCTCTATGTTCAAGTTGATAACTTTTATGTTAACTTCAAAATGGGGAAGTTAATTTTTTAAAATATTTTTATGATTTTTGTTGGTACTTAGCATGGGACAATACATCTTTAATTTGTAATATTTACATCAAAATATTAATAAATGACTTTGAGCTTTAACATTTCATATGTGTACTGTTTACAGACTTTATACATTTTAGGAATAATTTATAATTGACATTTTAGAAAATGAAGTGTTATATACAGTAGCTGCCATCTATGACCTTTAATATTCTAATTATTACATTAGAAAGAATATATTTTTCTCTTTCACTTTTAGAAAGATTAATGACAAAGTTTTCATATATGGTACTTCACAACATTCTAAATAGCCAAGCACCCTGGTAGGAACCAGGGTAACATTCAAAAAAGACCATTCAATTAGTGGAATATTTATCAGATTTCTTTTCTAGGTTTAGTAGGAATGAGGCTGCACGAATCATGGCCAATTCCTTTCTATTAACCTATATAATCTCAAGAATTATTAAACCGTCTCAAAGGTAAGCAAGCCAATTGAAACAATACTAAATGACACTATTTGAGGTATACTGTAATCATCTGGGGAATATTACATCCTTGCCCTCTTCAATCCTTTTGAGTTTTTAAGGCTAGGCACAATTTGCTATATGTGCACGAACGCTAATGTTTAGAACCAGAATCTACTGACACTTCAACCATATTTTTATTCTGCGCATAATGTCATGAGAACATCTTCAAATGTTGCTTCACCTACCACTCCCTAGAGGGCAGCAGATAGTTTCTTAATGTTGTTAAAGATTAGTCTATCGTGCTAAAAACTGAAAAAAAACTCCTAGTCTGCTGACTGATCGTCGTTATAAACATTCCATAGTGTATCAATCAATCAATCTTTATTCTACTCATACATAATATGAGTGGCGAGAACCCAAAAAGCGAATGCTTTATGCAAATGAGGCCCACAAGGAAAGAAAAAAAAAAAACACTTAACTATACAGTACAGTTAAGCAGATTGTAGGTATTGTTTGAGATTTACCATGTTGATGTTTGTTGAATCTTAAGTTTTGTTGGGTTTTACATATCATCATGGGATCATAGAACCAAGTTTGCTGCTGACACCGACACAATGTTACAGGCGTACAAAACAGCAAACGTTGCTGCTTGCTGGGGTCCTACAGTAAGTTGAAAAATCTAAGCCACTCTGGAAGATCTGTTTAAAAGATCTTTCTTAGCACATTTAATTATATTTTGTGCATGGTCAGGTGATACCCACTGGCACTGATATCCGGGTGACAATTGATGATACATTAGTAAAAACAAGCAAATATCATGAATTTGCGGAAGGTTGGTTATTTTCCGGGGGATTCTTCTTGCTTACGGGAGTGTGGGAAGTGATTTGCGGTAGACCTGTGCTTAGTATGTTTCTTAACCAATAAAGTCTGTTGGGACACTTCCACATAGTCCAGTTGTATTTAGTCGACTCTGTTAAAAAGGTCGTTGTAAAGTTCCGGGAGATTGTCACATTAAAGTTTTGTAGTAAAAAGTTTGCAGATCAGCGTGTGTCTTGAGTTTAATTATTTTTTGGGAGCATTTTAATTTAAAAAAAAACATAAAACTGTACACTCAAAAAGATGTTTTATGCATGCATGTGTGATAAAATAAATGATGGTACTCAATCCTTGGGTTTTTACAGTCCTGGATAAAGAACAATAGCAAGTCTATCAAGTTGACAAGTACTTCACTGTTTATAATTTAAAGTACTAACAATATAATACAGCAGTTGACCACACAGAAATTACACACAGGAAGGAAGCCCAAGATATACCAGGATTTGCTATCGGCCTCCTAACCTATTACAATCAAATTCTACCGTGCCTACCACTAAAATTACGGTATAGAATATTTAATTTATGTAGTCATCTTCAAATTCATCTTAGTTGGCAAATCTTCGACATTTAAAATAATCTTAACAAATATTATTCAACCACAATCTGCTGTGTTGATGCACAATTGAGTTTTCTTGATCGATACAGACCTGTTCAAAATGTTTGGTCTATTTTACAGGTAGGCCTACAATATTGCTTGTAGCTACTGTAGATATGCAAACACATACCACTGGCGGTGACACAGGATGGGCTAGATGGGCCTAGTCCCACCTATCCATTTAGTAGGTAGGCCCTCCCTCCTGTAGGCCCCCACCAAATAGTTTGCCAAAAATACACTAGTTTGAATATTAGTCGTTTATCCAGGTAAGTATTCACGAAGTAGACTACAGTAGTTTGAATATTGATTTTGAATAAACAACTGGTCGACTTTTAGACGAGGCGTGGATCGCCAGTTGGCTGTTTTCAGAATGTATAGACTTCAGAATAAAAAACCCACAAAATTTAATGGTCTCCTAGAACATAAAAATGCTAAAATTTTTCTCAGGGCTCTTGGCTTAGCACCCAACCTTTGTTTTTCCCTTTGTTTGCAAAGTGCTTACAGTATCTGGCCCACTCAACGTTCAAACCGTATCAATGCCTTCAGTACTTACTATACCAAAATCATATATCGTGCAATACAACCTATTATAGTAATTCCAACCCTCATATTTTCTTAATATAGGGGCTGTATCTAAATGCTTCTACCGCATTATGAATTAAAAAAAAAACCATGGTGACTGAGACAATTCCAATGTCTGCTTTATATGCTAATTTCTGGACGTGAAAACCGCATTCACGTCTACAGTAACCTGCATACTATATAAATTCACTTTTTAGGCTTGAAGCCCATGCTTTGTAAACATAAATGTAAAAACTATCATAGCTTCATCTATTTACATAGTTTATTTCATTTGTCTCCAATCTTTGTGCAAGAACATGGAAAGACAAAGCCAAATCACATGGGTTTTCCCCTTGTATTTTGAATGTTCACACTTTCAGATTAAACTCAAATACAGTAATTTAATTATTAACATTGATTCAGTTATTACTGAACGACGGTATAAAAAAGATACAAGGAAAAGAAAATTTCCAAGAAAGAGATGACAAAGATAATAGAAATTAGGGTGCAGTGAAGCGATCTCAAAGAGGTTTAGAAAGAAGCATAAAAATAGTAAAATATATAGAACATTGCCAGAATATTAAAAAAGATGCACTGGGATAGAAGAATTGTACGGTCGTCCCGTGACAAAACAACCTAACTCATTTCTTTTTTTGTTATTAGTTATTCTACGTTGTTTTGCCAAGTGGGAAATAGAAATAAATAGAAAAGTGTACATTCTTGTAAACTGGGATATAAAAATGGCTTACTGACATGTGAATTAGGAAAGACAGGTGGCTACAGAATATAAAGTAGACGAGGAGCAGGTAAGGTAACTCAATCTTTAAGGAAAGGGACCTACTAAATTCCAGTATTGCTAGATTGTTATACCTTGTTTTAGCAAACCTGCCACTCAACAATAAATTGATTTTAATTTAAAATAAAAAAAATTAGTTTTGGCCAATCACCATACCTGCTGCCATGAAAAATGGAAATTTCATGAAAAATAGAAATTTCAGAAAAAATCAAGTCTTTCTTTATTTTTATTACACCCGCCGCTGCCTTGTAATCTCAAAAAATAAGATACACTCTTAATACAAATTTAAAGCATTTAACCATCCCATTACTACAATTTTTACATTCAATAATAAAAACTGTATCACTTTCTCCTCCATTTGGATGTTTTTAGCAAAACCATTTGCTAAATAAGAAAACAAAATTATATTTTTATTTTTGTCCACCCTCCTCTGACGATCTTCAGTAAACATAAGTTAGCTATTATAAAGCAAGGTATAAAAAGAAGTCTCGCCTTAGTTAGAACGAGTGTTCCAACATGGCTTTCCAGGAGCAAAGTTTGATGAAGCCATAGAAAATTAATTTGGCCAGTTTTATGCAAATTGAGGCGTAAACAGTAGGAAGAAAAGCAGAATTTTGCCACACATTTTACAAGGCTACTTTAAGAAAATTATTCCAAAATTCAGGGTTGTAACTAAAGAAAACTAAGGGTGGGTGATAGTCATTTTGAGGGTGGGTGCGTACATTGGTAAACTCTAGATAATAAGAGTGGATTTTAAAGATGGAGAAGTGGGTTAATAAGGGTGGGTGGAGGGCCATGAAATTAGCATTAGACTGGGTGGAAAACTTCAAGGCTGGGTGGCCCCATCCACCTCCGCTCACCATAACT